GGGGCCGGGCTGCACCCACCTGCACCGGCGGCCCCGCAGCGTCTGCGGCGCGGCTGCACTTTGCCCTGTGTTTAGGCCGGCGGCCAGCGCCCGGCCCGGCTCGGCCTTGGGGCGCGGCAAGGCTCGGGGCCCGGTGTGGCTTCCGCCGCCCCCTCGTACGGACCCCCTTCGCCCGACACAACGACAACACACCCGGTGCCGGCGAGACAGCGACCGGGAGGGTGTCAACCCGGACTGACGCACGTCCCCAAAAAGACCCCCGCGGCGGCACCGAGTTACAAAGGGGCTCCTCACTGCCCCTCGGGCAGGCCAGGGGCCCCGCTGCAGCATACAACACACACGGCATCACGGCCCCTTTCGTCTCCTCCAGTCGTCTCCTCTCACCCCGCTCGGGAATGAAAGGCCGACCCGAGCCTCGTCTCACGAGCTTGAATCCCCAACTCCGGGATTGCAGGACAGGCCCTACCGGCCTTGCCCGCGCCCCCGGAGTGGGAGCTAAGCTGCCTTTTTATAATAGAAGGTCTTGTTATTAGTTCCTCGGTACACGATCTCGTGCTATTAAACATCATCCAGTGCCAGCTTCTGCTAGCCCAGCCCTCCTCCGTATCCACATCCCAACTCTGAGGCCTGTACACACGTCGTTGGCGCACACAGCACCTTCCCCCCCAAAGTCATGACTGGCGACAAACCCGATCTCTGACGAGCACCGCTCTCCATCTGGATAACTGAGAACCTAGTCCCGTCTGCTCTTCGCTTGGCTCCTAACCCACCACCTGAATCTTGTTTTAATCCCCTGCCTTTCACCTTAATAATTCTCCCTGCTGAGGATCTTTATCTAATTCTTCGCTTAAATCTAGAGATCAGGTCTGCTGCATTGCCCTTGTCTAAGGCGGCAGTTCTCTTATCAGAGATGCTAAGTTAGTCTGACACAATTTACCTTTAATACGACCCTGTTGCATTTCATCCTGTTTTCCATCTGCTGCCAAGTCTTTTAATGACTTTTTCCTTCAAAATCTGTTCTCAGAACTGGAAGTCAAACTAATGGGCCTGTAGCTTCCCCTTTTCTGAATGGATGCTCTGCGTTCGCTATTCTTCAGTCATTAGGGAATCACCCCAACGAGACAGAGTCATTCAAAATCCTTGCCTTTGAGTGAGTTCATGTGCCTTTTTCTCCCATGCTCTGCACTGGAGAGGATTTGACCGTCCTACTCTGGGTCCCCCTCAATTGTAATTCCCACCACCCTGCCCATTCCCCTCAGATGCATCATCATTTTGACTGGAAGATGGAAACATAGCATTTTTAGCATTGTCTAGTTTCATCTTCACCAGCTCCACTTCTTCCCCACCTTGTTCCCCAAACCTGACAAACTTTTTCTGACATGCTCTAATTTTCTTTGCAAAGTGCAGCTAAGCTTTGGGCCATTCTCCCTCCATTGCGGCATGCTTTGGCCTCCTAGATGGAGCTCCCCTTGCTAACCACTCTCTATTTCCACTCCCTGATAGCACCTAGCAGCCTGTCTGGGCTACTTGTTTGTCCTTCCCTGCCAGCGTTCTCCTCGTGCTTGCCTTCTGGCTGAAGGTCACTACAAGCCTGATCCCCATCAGCCTCTTGAGCTCTTCAGTTCAACCTACTCCACTAGTGGAGCTTCTCCACATTTATCCTCTTGAAATCCAAGAGGCCTTGCTCAGAGACCAACTTTACTGCATCTGGCAGTTCAGAATGAACTGAATCATCTCACAGTCGCTCCAGCCAGGCTTGTTCCAATGACCAAGTCTTCTGTAAGACTTTGGCCGCTTACTGAAAGGAAGTCGAAACTAACATTGCTTTTGTTCTTTCAATGCCTGGTGCAGGCCCCTCAATGTCGTTTTGTACCTAGGCCAGCTCTGTATTTCATGGCATCTTGTGCAAATTAAGAACAGGGGCCTTTAGTTCCCAGCCCCACCTTCCAACCTGAAGGTCTAAGAGTGAGTAGGATCTGTTGTGCTACATCTAAGAAGGCACTGAAGTGCTATTAATGGACCTGAAGGCTCCCAGTGACAGGTGATGCCAAAGAGGATGGAGCTGGACTGTTCTCAGTGGGGGCAGATGACAGAACAAGAAGCAACAGTCTCTATTTGCAGCAAGGGAGGTTTAGGTTAGATATTAGGAAACACCGTCACACTACAAGGGTGATGATGGTGAAGCACTGGAATGGGTTATCCAGAGAGGTGGCGGAGTCTCCATCCTTGGAGGTTTTTAAGGCCTGGCTCAACAAAGCCTTGGCTGGGATGATGTAGTTGGGGCTGGTGCTGCTTTGAGCAGGGGTTGGAGTAGATGTGACCTCCTGAGGTCTCATTTTCTATGATTTTATGACAGCTAGTGATGACCGTCCTCTGGGGGAAGCCAGGACAGAAACATGAAGGGAGCCCAGATCGCAGGAGTGTGGAGCTGCTGGAAAGCCTGGACCTGGGAGGCAAGGGAAGCCACACAGCAGGGCTGTGAGAGGCTTCAGACAGAGCTTTGGATCCGGAGAAGCTTTGGGGTCGGAAGCAGCCCATCCGGGTCGAAGCGCCGGCCTCCTTCTGCTTCCTGAAGAGCTTCAGAGCTGCCTCGGGGATCCAGCCATAGGGTATAATGGGGAAACAATAAAATATCTATAACCTTGTTGTTTTTTGTCCAATTTAGATTAAATTATCAGGGATGGTAGACTCTGTAGAGAGGATGAAGCCTGCCAAGTTTCAAGAAGTTTGGTGTAGAGGTTTGGGGGGAATGGCACCCCAAATTCTTGAAAGCAAAACTCATGTCACATTTAGGTGTTACAGCATAGTGGGGTGAAAACTGGAGGGGTGGTGGCTCTTACTGAGGCCACAAAGCCTGCCAAGTTTCAAGAAGATCGGTGCAGGGGGTTAGGGGGAACTGCCCCTCAAGCTGTGGACGAGCAAAACTCAGGACTGACTCTGGCTTGGGGAGGGGGGACACTGCTGCAGGGCTGGCTGCAAAGCTGCTGTGTTCCCAGTTACCAATCAATCAATCATGATTCACTCAGGGACCAGCTCAATACACAGGACGTAGCTACTACACCACGACTTAACGAGCATCAATGAGCACCTACAAAACCAGGCTAAGGAGAGGAAAGACTCAATACAGACGATCAACTGCCCCGAGACAGACACAGTCTTGGCACGAGTTTTGCCCTCAGCAGCTAGGGGTGCAGGGCTCCAGAGCCCCCTGCACTGACCTCCTCCACAGCTGGTTTTGGTGGGAGGCTGTTTGGGGCTGCTAGGCTCTGCGCCTGTGTGTCCAGTTGCAGGATTGGGAATGGCAAAGGCAAATGGGAACCAAAGCTAAATGCAGAGAGAGATGGGGGCCGGAGGGGGTATGTTCTCTGGCTTGGGAAGTATTCAACAGGGAGCTCAGAGAAGACTGGCCCACGCTTCTCTCATCCACTAGAAACAAATCTTGTGATGCCCATAAGCTGATGCTGCCTGTATTCCTCCAGAACGCCATGCTCTGTTCTTACCTCTCCAGGGCCCTTAGCTGGCAAGCCCAGCCCCCTGCTGTCCCACACCCTGCAGCCCTTCCACAGCCCCCTTCTTCCACTCCATAACACTCCCTGAAAAGAAAGGCAAGACAGGTTATTTCTAAAAAGACATGGAAAGCAGTGTCTCACCCCAAGCGGATACACCTCTTGCAGATGCACAGTATTTACAGCTGCAGAACAAGCCCAGCATACGCAGACAGCCTGCAAGTCTGTTACACGCGATACTGTAACTCAGCACTGCCTTTCCCTTAACTTATGGCAATGCTAGCAGCTTATTTTTAGCATCTTGCTTTGGAATCAGAAGTGTCAGCAAACACTGGGAGTATCTTCCTCTGGCCCAAGGAGAGTGGGTGAAACAGCCTGTCCCATATTCCAGGTATGATTCAAATCCACTGTGGAGCAGTTATTTGAAGAGAGACTCCTTCAGTTTTGTCTCTTTCCTCCACCGAGTATTTTTTCCCCCTTTTTCCTTCTCAGTGCTCTCATTCTGCTCTGAAAGCACAGACTCTTCCTGTCTGAGCTTCAGGGAGCTCTCACAGCCTTCCAGCTGCCCGTGGCTTCAGGGGACACGCCGGAGTAAGAATTTACTCACAAATGCTTGGCCCTAACTGACTACAGAGGTATGCAGACACACTGCCCGGTTGGTTACTGTTGTTGCCCAAAGCCAGGATGCCACAGCGTGGGCAGACTACGGCTGCAATGCATTCCAGGCTATACAGGTGGATCCTGTTGTCCAGCACCACGGTGATGGGCATCATATAAGAATAAGCACCTGGTGGGATGGGACAGACCACCTCACAGTGCCTCCCAGGCCCTGGACATGCCAAATCTTCCATTTCTAGCAGGTGGAAAAAACATTTCGCATCTCCCCTGCTGTCCCTGGCTACCCAGCCAGAACCCTCTGGTGACTCCCATTGCCGGTCAGTGCTAGGCAGGAGCAGGGAGCGGTGCGAGGGCACCAATGGAGGGAACGCTTTCATTAGTCCTCATAGTAGTCCATGGGATGGGGGCCAGTTGGAGGGCCCAGCATTGGCCATCAGAAGATCTGAGTGCTTGTCCCAGCTGTGCCACTGATCTTGGAAGCACCACTTCCATTTTGTCCATTTAAATGGTAAGCAAGCGGGGTGCGCCCTGGTCTCTGCATGCCTGCCTGGACGCTGCCAGCTACAGCAGGGGGGCTGATCTCGCTCAGGACTTACAGCCCATACTGCAGTGTAGCTAAGAGTAATTAGACTGCCTGCAGGCAGTGCAGACAAGGCCGTGGCCAAGGAAATTATTCACCCAAGTGGGTTTTCTCCAGCTGGTCCCATCCTTTCATTCCTCCCCCCTCCCCATGTTGATCATTCCTCCACACAAGCTGTAGCCAGGC